TATAGAGGTGCAGATGCTGTAGCGTTTTATATTTAATGTCTACATAATAATATAAATTCGATTCTATATTTGTCATAGTACGCCCCTGGTATGCTAGAAATGTGTTTAGATACTAGTAGAGATTTTTTAAATACGCAATAATTCTTCAATAAATAAAGACGTATTTGCTAAGGAAAACAATTTATGGCTTTTTAACTTCAACGTTCCCAGAAAAATATTGCAAGCCTGGTATTCTTTTTTCTAAAGCATAGTAACGCCGGAAGTTTGAACGAGTTTGAGTAAAGAATTTGTTGATTTGACAAGATGGCAATGGTTGTGCGGGGAAAAGAGAGGCGGTATCTATCCGGCAGGTTGAGATCGAGGTCAAGAGAGGCAGTGATGAAGAATTGCTCGAAGGGAAAGGTCGTTTAATTGTGATGTGGTAAGCCGGCATTAATTCGCCAAAAATGGTGGAATTTTCACTCTATGTAATATGTCGTATTTGAAAGAGTGACCACTGTTTTGATTTTGCTGAAGATTTATAATGTTTGAGAAGTGAACAAGTTTAGTTCCTGCTTTCTTTTCGTTTTTTTTTTGAGAAATCCAGTTCCTTTCCAAGATGCCTCTTCACCTCACGTAGAATGATATTGGAGCAGTTTTGATTTGAATGTGCCAGTGTGCCAGTTTCAGCCTCCAAGAAAGTTTTCCGTTGATGATGTACAGTTAGATACCCCACAGATACCTATTAGCCAGTTGTTCAAAAGTTTAAGTTAACATGTGTGAACTGAGGTAACATTTACGTTATTAATTTTTAAAGTAAAAATAGACATTTTCTTTTAAAAAGACAAAATTTGCTTTCTTTTATAAATTATTTTTTTATTAAATTTGTAATTAAAATAAATATTATGTTAGGGCGTGGTTTAAACTGTCATGTCATAATTTTATCCTGTTTTAAAAATGTTTGTTTTGACGTATGACAGTTTGATTTTTAATCTGTTGTAAAAGATATTTTGATTTTATAGTAAAGATTAAATTTTATTTTTCACAAAAGGATATCCATAAAATTTTAATCTAATTTGGCCACGTTATTTACTAGGAACCATTTCGAAGGTTTTTGTAACCTCTTTGTAAACAGATAACATGTAAGTTTTCTTTATTTGTATTTGACAACTATTTTTATATAGTATGCCTTTTGTATAAGCTGTATTTTTAAAAAACTGTTTGTTTGAGACAATAATAAACGTTAGATTTGTTTCTCTAACCTATTTTTTTATTTTTATTTAGAAAAATCTCCTAAACCCTTTTTATGTATTTTAGATATTAAGGAAGAAGAATTTTTTCTTTCCTTCAGTAAACTAGGATCCTTCAAGTGGCGCCCTATATTAAATTCCTTGAGGTGTTCCTAGTCTATTTTTGATTTGTTTGTTGTATCAATTGCCCAGAAGATTTATGTAAGTATCCCTTTGTCTTCATTTTAGTAGATACCCCAATCCAACCCCCATATTTCAACTTATCCACGACCCAGCTCTCCAACAACCAACTGAGTGTCGTTCGCACTTGTTTCGATTATTTTGTTTGCCCAATCTTCTACCCCTCATGTTCTTACCCTGAGGTAAGCAAAATATTGTCGTTACAATGCCAATAGTGATCATATATTGGTAATATCCAAACTTAAACAAGATCTACCTGTAAAACTAAATATTTTAAAAGATAGAAAGAGATATAACGTGACCTTACTTAACTAAAAAATGGCAAAAAGGTTAGAAAATGAGATTAACTCAAGATTAGAGGAAGACAACTTAATCTGATTCATTGGAAGAAGAATGGAGTAAAATCGAAACATCAATAACAGAAGCAGTTAATGTTTGCTTAGGCAATACATGAGCGAAGAGAAGAAGAAGACTGGTTCGACGAGGAATGTAAAAGAGCAGTAATGATAAAAAAGAAGGCAAAGTTGAAAAAAAGACAATAATATAACCCAAGAAACAATTACAAAACATTAGAAAAAAAGAAAAGAAGCTAAAAAAATCTGCCGACAAAAAAGAGTTTTTGAAAAGAAAATTAAAAACAATAACGGGTCATTATATTAGCAAAGAAATAAAAAAAATCTATTAAGAAGTTATGAGAAACAAACAAACAAATAACACGCAAACAATTTTTTGTAGGAATAAAGAAGGACTGCTCCTTGGAAATACTGCAAAGAAATTAAACAGATGGGCACAATATTTTGAAGAACTGCTAAATAATGAAGAACAGATGCAAACAGATAAGGCAATGGGCCAATCAGAGGATAATAATGAGGAGTACGTAGAGGAACCAATAGAACAGGAAGTAAAGGAAACAATAAAATGGATTAAAAACGGTAAAAGCGTAGGGAGAATGGAATCCCGGCGGAAATTTTAAAGGAAGGAGGGGTCACACCGCAACGAAAGCTATATAATTTGATACTGAGAGTATGAGAGTGCGGAGAGAGGAGAAAATGCCAGAGAGATAGAGTAATGTCGTAATTTGGCCAATACGTAAGAAAGGTGACATAACCCTCTTGTGAAAATTACAGAGGGATAGCGCTACTGGATGTTGCGTACAAAATATTAGCAAAGATCAGACGTAATAGATTAAAAAAAATACGAGAATGGAATAGTAGGTGAATATTAAAAAAGAGTTTAGAGCAGGAAGATTGACAGTGGATCAAATAGTTACCTACCTTAAAATTGATACAAAAATATCAAAAAAGTTGATAACATTATTAAAAATGTCGCTAACAAGTACAAACACTGGAGTGGTCATAAAAGGAAGTATGTCAAATCTGTTTTCGTTTACAAGATGACTAAGACAAATGGACTTTCTACTGATCTTTCTCTTGGAGGCAATAAGGAGAGAAAGTAAGAACAAAAAAGAAACTTGAACACACGTTTAAGACCTTTGAAGATGAAGCGAGAAAATGTAGGGTGTATATAAATGAAGCGAAAATAAAGTATATGAAAATGCGTGGTGAGATAACAGAACACAATAAATTCGATACACTTAAAACGAGAGGAAAGGATTACAAAATTGAAAATGTCAGCCAGTTCGGACATTTGTAACAATAACGAATAAAGAAAAGAGACTATTAAAAGGAAGTAGAGCAATGAGTTCATTAAACAATATGTTAAAAGCAAAACATGTATGTAGGGCAGCAAAAATTCGAATATACGAATCGTCAAACGGCACTGAGGTCTTAATCTGACTACTTCTCAGTGTCGAGTGACGACCCGGTGGCTCTTTATACTAGTATGCGCGGAAACAGTACACTCTGACGTGGTCTGAACTGACGTGGCTTGAGTGGTTTGGGTTATGGTGGGGTCTCTGAAGTAGCGGTCGCCATGTTACCGGCAGTCGTTTAGCGTCAACGCGCGTATTGAAGCTGTTGGACCGGTTTTCAATTTTAAATTTATTTTGTGGCCTGTCTGAATATGATGTTTTGCTAGGGCTGAAGTAGTATCGGAATGTTTCGACTCATAAAGTATGTTGAACGTGGGCAACTGGAACAAGTTCTACTGATCTTGTCTCGACAAGAACAATCTACCTATGATTGTTATCGCTAAGCCTTATGGAACGGGAAATAAGAGAGTTGATAACTGAATTAAGTTGGGCGGAGTGATGATGTACCTGGGCATTAAGATAACGGTTTGTATGAGTAGGTTTCTGGTACAAGAAATAGGAAAAACTGTGAGGAAGGTTTTTCTGAATAAGAACATCAAGGAATAGTAAAGACGCTGTAGACTCAACTTCCATCGTGAATTGAATGCTGGGATGTATTCCATTCAGGTGGGAGAGAAAGAGATCTAATGTGTCTTTACCATGGGGCAAAACGACAAAGGTGTGATCAACGTACCGTAACCAGCAGGTGGGTTTGAGATTTGATGAAGACAGTTCTATTGTTTTGAAATGTTCCTTTGATTTGACGATAGAAATGATTTTGAAAAGAAAAATATGTATTAGATATGCAGTGTTTTATAAGAGATAATATGTCTTGGGGGATTTGATGTTTGGAGTCCAAGATGGAAATGGTTTCATCGATGGGAATGTTGATGAATAAAGAAACAATGTCAAAACTAACTAGTATATGTGAGGGTGAAATAGAAATGTTTTTTAGATCAATGAAATAAAAAGAGTTTTTGACAAAGGACTAGTCGTTTTCGGCTAATGGTTGTAAGGATAAAACGACATGTTTTGCCAATTTCTGAGTGGGGTACTTATATGTACTGACGATGGGTCTTAGGGGGACATTGGGCTAATGGATTTTTGGAACGCCATATATCTTTGAAATTTGAGATGATTTTTCTCTGGGTATAAGAGATTTTTTGATGTCTGGTAGGTAGAGTAGAGTTATTTAAAATACATTTAATCGTTTTTTTTCTAGATATGTAGTGGGATCGTTTGGGACGCATTTGTATTCTGGAATTGATAAGTTTGAACATTTTGTCGAAATAATTAGAAGAGTTGAGAATAACATTACCTTTATCGGCCAAAAGGATGACAATGTCAGGGTTGTTATAAAGTTCTTTGAGGGCACGTCTTTCTGAAATACTGATATTTGACGGTGTGGGTTTGGAAGTACGGAGAATCATGGCGATATCTTGTCTGCAAATTTCAGTTTGGTCGGAAGGAAGGTGAGAAATAGCTTCTTCAGTTCGACAAATAATTTTCTCTGTTGGTATAGAAAGAGAAGTGACAGAAAAATTGAAACTTTTTGACAGAGCTTTAATGGCTGAATCGAATATGCGAATATATGAAAAATTGCGAACAACAGTAGTAGAGAACGATTTCCGAAGTGGAAATTGAAACGTCAATAAACGTATTTTTATCTTTAATTGTGGCTTATTCCCAGTTTAATAGTAATTAACAGAGGGTTGTTGATTCGAAATGGGCTGTAAATTTTGAAGAACCTTACATCTTCTAAAGATAGTTCACAAATCCTTTAACTTTTAACAATTTAAAAATAATATTGGTTGGCTAAAAATTACTTTAAAAACTATTACCTTTAGTATCTATTTCTATGCCCAGGACATTTTGCAGATTATCGCAATCAGAATCATCGTTTTTCTCCCAACTCGGAAAAGGCGTCATCAAAACATTCGTCGACTTACTATCAGCTTTTGGCACAACAGTTAAAGTTGCTGGAACTCCTGGACGATACTTCGGTAAAGACATGTACATATCGTTTTCGAAAAATCGAATGCCTCCAATGAGAAGATTTTGTGGTATGTATCTTTTTGTGTTAATTGCCTCTGTGTATTGTTCGGGATTATTCCATGTGAAGTTTACGTAGCTCCATTCATATAGAGTTGTAGGGGTGATACGATTAGGGTGGTGGTTAGTGTTTAAATGATGCAAGTTGGTTTCAATAGTCCAATCTTCTTCAGAGAAGCTAAAATACAGAATAAAAATGTGATATGTCTACATTTTTGATAATAAGTTTAAAATTACTCAAATGTACAACATAAATGAGCAAATGGAGAATATGGAGAGCAGTTCCACGAAATATTTTATCGCAATAAAATTGACAATTGACAAAAACTAGCCAGTAACAAATCAGGTTAATTGTTAATTTTAATTTAAATTTTTAGTAAAATGGATTCGCGTAAAGAACGTCAATTACTTCAGTGGCTTGCTGAAATTGAAAATAGAGAAAACAGCGAAAGTTTGGAAAACCTCGATGATAGTGAAGGAAGTGAAATTGATGAGGTAGAGATACAAAATTATAACACGGATAGTGGAGTGTCGGCGAGTTCTGAAGATGAGGGGGACTATATTCCTTGCCTCCCCGTTAGTGTATCACGTAGTCTTACGTAGGTATGAAGGTTATTCAAATACTTGATTATAGACTTGTTACGATATCATTGTTTAAATTTAGGTAAAGATAATCAAACCGTTTGGAAGGTCCATCACGAAAATCGTTATTCTAAAACTCTAGTTAGGAATATCCTTACCAAAAAACGTGGAGTAAAAGGTTTCTCAAAAGAAATGAAAATTCTATCAGGGTGTTGGAGATTATATTTTCCAGATGACATTGTTGAAAACATTGTTATATATACAAACAAATATATTTCCAAAATTCGACAAAATATATCCCGTGCAAGAGATGCAACGGACACAAATTTAGACGAAATTAAAGCACTTTTTGGATTACTTTACTTCGCTGGGACCTGGAAAAGTGCTCATGTAAGTGTGGATGACTTATGGGCTGCGGATGGGCCAGTAATATTCAGAATAACAATGGGGAAAAATCGGTTTCATCTTCTACTAAGGGCACTCCGATTTGATGATTTTAGCTACAGAGAAGAGCGTAGGAAAACGGACAAACTAGCGCCGATATGAGAAGTATTTGGATGATTTGTGGAAAAATGTAAGGCTAATTATGAAATAGGACGGTATGCTACAGTTGATGAAATTCTGGAAGCCTTTCGTGGGAAATGTGCATTTAGGCAATATATTCCTAGTAAATCAGCGAAGTATGGCATTAGAATTTATTCACTGGCTGATGCGGAAAACTGGCACACTAGTAACTTGGAGGTGTATGTAGGTAAGCAGCCAAATGGCCCATTTCAGCAAGATAATAGTTCGGCAGCACTTGTGAAACGTTTGATAAAACCTATTGCTAATACAGGTCGTAATATTACATACGACAATTTCTTCACTTCAGTCCCACTGGCAATAGATCTACTAAATAATATGCAGACTACATTGGTGGGAACTCTAGAAAAAACAAGCGTGAGATACCAACAATTTTTCTCGCTACGAAAGAAAGGAACGAAACTACGTCTATGTTTGCTTTTGGCAAAGAATGCTTACTTACCTCCTACGTACCAAAGAAAAATAAAAATGTCTTAGTTTTGTCGACTTTGCACGATCAAGATATTATCGACCATAAAACAGGTAATGCTAAAAAGCCTGAAGTGTTAACATTTTACAACCAAACCAAATCTGGTGTAGATGTGGTCGACAAATTAAAATCTTTATATTCAGTTTCAAGAATAATGTTACGAACATGCTTTCGTCATGACTCATATAACGGTTGCATCTCGAAACGGCTTCTAGAATCATCACCAGATCTCTCGAAGGCAAGAGAACAATCGGTCACGTGCGCGAATTAGAGGTGGGAGCTTTCTAGAACATAGTAACTTAGGTATATATATGTAACGACCTTACGAGTAAGTTTTGTTGATAAGAGATTACCGAACTGTAAAGTTAAAAATAAATATATTTATATAAATTCGAACCGCTCGTTTTATTTAAAAACGGTACAATAAGTTGTAGATGGCCGCTTACAATTTTCTTCAGCCTTTTAAATATTGGTGGCATAAACTGTCATATTATTTACTATGAAAATACTAGTGTTGAATTACCACGACGTAAATTTTTAAAAAATCTGGCTTTAGAACTGATTAGACCATATCAAATGTTACGAATGAACATAAGAACTCTCCCTGTATTGTTACGAATGCAAAGAAGGGACCATTTGGGAATTCGATGAAGCAGAGCCTGTAGAAATGGAACAAGTATCTAATAAATGTGCATACTGTCCTAAAAAGAAGAACCGAAAAACTCAGACAAAATGATATTATTTTATCACATTTGTTTTGTTAAATTAATAAAAAACATTGATTTATGGGACTTTCTATAATATGTGAGTATAAACCATTTTATTTTTATACATGTTGAAATTCATTCTTCCTCGAAATAAGTCGAATTGATGTAGGTGAGTGTGAAGTGTAGGTGAGGGCGACGCTCATACGCGTGCAACCATGTCACAATCGAAGACACATGTAACGGCGGGTTAATATCAACAAAAAAAGAACAAGCAAACAATTAAAAATATTTCATCCATTATAGTTTTGGTAATTGTTAAATTCAATTTTACATATTGTTAAATGTGCTTCTATCGAAAAATTAAATTAAATCGATTTGTTTTGGTTACTTTTCTTCCCCTGTTTTTTTTTAATTTAATATTCGTTACACAATGAATAGTAAAACAAAATTAAATTAACAAAAATGAACTTACTCTGGAATAGATTGATAAAAATCATCTTCGTCAAACGTTGGCCCATTCTCATATTTATCGTTAAAACCAGTACATAGACTACACATAGATAAAAATTTTAAAATAAAAATTTCATATCTTCGATTTTTTATGTTTATTAACAACGTTTCTTTGTGCTGGAATTATAAACTTAAATTAATATGAAAATAATAATTTGATAATGTTGTGGTTATTTTTATATTACTCTGAAATTACCCTGACATAGAATTACGGAGTTCCACCTAGAAAAGCGACAATTGTGACAAAATGGTACGCCGCAATTTTTTTTTATTATACAGAGTGACAATGTGAAACCTTCTGATGGTTAATATCTTCATAAAATCGTCATAATATACCTTTCAGACCTGAACATAATATTTTTTTGCGAGCTTGGTAAAATTTAGTGCAAATGATACTTGAAGGTTACTTATAATAAAAAAATTAAAAATATCTATGTATACAGTGTTTAAAAAAAAAGATACCCTCACTATTGTGTATGATAGGTTTTATTTTAGGTAATACAAAATATTAAATCTACCGTGTATGAAAAAAAAAACATCTAATCTACCGTGTAAAAAAATAACAATTTTGATCCTTTGTAAATCACAAATAAACACCTGACTCGCATTCTACTTTTGCAAGTGCTTCTGAGGCAAAATCTGGCTGTAGGTAGCTGATCTACAGTTGGAAAATGCTCAAAGCTATCCAACCTTTTATCTTTAGCTGGGATTGCAGCCCTATAATTTTGTAGTTTTTTTCTTGGAGGCTCTATTTCTTTCTCTTCTTGATCACTATTAGCAAAACGTCATTTCGTAGGGGTTGCCAGTAATGTTTCTGTAAGTTTGTAACGAGTTCGTTACTTTAATAATCCGTAAACATTCTTAAATAAAATTTTAAAATCCCAATCCTCTTAATGATTTTCTGAATTTTAAAATTTAAGTTGGTATTAAACAGCGACACCTACGGCGCTGTAAGGCGACATGACCATCCGGCTAGTAATTAGCGCTCATTCTGGTTTTAACTTTTTGAGAAACAACTTCGTTTAATAGGGAAAAAGGGTAGGCGACAGAGGCCGGCTAAATTTATTTAAATAATATTAATTTTGTTGGGGAAGGAAGAATAAGGAGTTTTCAGTTGTTTAGTAGTGTAAGATCGTTGATTTAAGAAGCCACTTCTAGTCGGTGAGTTGATACAATTATAAATAAAAATAGTGTAAAAACTTTCAGCCATATTAACTTCGATAATATCGTCACTTTTCCTTCGATAGCGTAATATCTATCTGTCATTTCTCACATTATTTCCTTAAGAAACATTCTGGATTTATATATAATAATGTTATAAAATCATATCAATTTTCTATTTTATTTCCCAGCCTTAAAAACATATAATTATCCGATCGTTAAAAGTATCTATTATCTATTAAGACTATCTGTAAAAATATTCTGCCTTATACCGTTCTTTTATATTCAAAAATATATCCGTAGCAAGTGTTTCGTTAAAATTATCTATTTGATCAATTTATTTTACATCAAATATTGTCAGACCATACGAAGGTCACATTATCTACAAAATCATTACAGCTTTTTTCTTGGATACAAGCTTCCCAGCAACTTTTTTGTCATATTTTTCAAGTTATTTCATTTGTTAATAAACCTTGTATTTTCCCCTTCTTTTATTAAGCGTAAGGATCAGCTGTAACACGATTGTTCTTTTTAGCCTACCCCAAGAAGTTAAATCCAGAGTCAAGGATTTTTCTTTTATTTATTTTTGGGAATTGATTACACAAAGAAAAAAAATTACGTTTTGAATTTGCCCATTTGCCGTCTGTTCCATCAGAGGTCCAGAGCTCTCCCAACTACTCTCGGACCACTTCCGGATACCAGCCCGAAAGACCTCCCTTATTTGGAGGGTGGAACATTGTTAATTTTTATATTGTTTATTCATTAATTTAATAATTTTGTTTATAATTTTTTTTCCTCAATCATAAAATCTTAATAGTTCATTTAATAATAAAGACCCGTCATTTTTTCTAAATAATTATAAATTACTTAAGTGTTAAAATTGTCAAGTCCAGGTCGAGGTTTTAAATCCTCCCTTTTAACTCGGTTGTACGGTTTTATGTGTACACATTTAATCAGAGAGTTATTTTTTTTAAGATTTTATTATTATTATATATTTAAACGTTTGGACATTTATCTCGTCAAGATAGTGTCCTTATTACTTGTTACAATTACATTCAATTGAAAGCCAAAATACAGAGTTGCATCTCTGAGGCAAGTAAATTACCTCTTTTAGGTACTCAATCATTACCATTTTTCCCATATTTTATTATTTGTAAATTTATATCATCAAGGATCAGTTGGGTATAACCAGGGCATTTATTTTTTGTATATAATTAAGTTGACTGTACATAATTGGTGGTGGGTATTTTAAGATAAATTTATATTGTATATATTTGGCTAGGGATTAAAGTTTTGGTGAAAATTAAATATTTCAATTCATACCTATATCCTTTTTTTATTTCAGCACATAGCTTTACAAGATACCTTGAAAGTTTATGTAAATACTTTCCTGGCGCCCACTCACATTTTGGAGCAACTTCTATAATCACTTTTATTTATCTTAGTTATATTCCTATAGTTTTTTATAACCTTGTCATTCATTTTCTTATTATACGGTCTCTGTAGGGCATGCAAATTGGCCGAATCCTCCTTTGAGTGTCAAGTAGTCACTCTCCGGCAACTTTTGCTAGCCAGCTTTAAAATTATATGTTATCTTTTACTTTACCCCCAACTACTTGTGTTCATTGCATGCACACTTTGTTATATTCCTACACATTTTTTGTTACAAGTTCCAATCGAAAGGATAGAAGATCTTTTACGTTTCATTTTGGAATATTATTCATTTGATAGTTAGATCTATATTGTATCCAAGAATTTATCACCGCAAGATCCAAAAAGTATATTATTACTTTTAAGGTCCATTGTCTGGTTTTTATCCCGCTTCCGTAATATTCGAGTTGCTGATCTACGATATCAACACCTCTCATATTCTCATTGTAAGATTTAACAATATTAGGACATGTTCTTTCTTCATATATATTTTTTTCATTTTTACACTACCTTTTTACTATATTTTGTGGATCAACTCCAGCTGTGTTCGACAATGAAACTGCAGACTTAAGTCCCTCCACTTACCGGCCATCATATTTTGTACTTTGCAGCAAAATTGTTCACTTTGACCTCACTGAAGACGATTATCAAAGTTAACTTTGATTTGATTGTTCATTACGGTTCCAATTCCATATATTTTTATTCACAAAGCTTATTTATTAAGAGAGGTGTAGCAAAATACCTGTCAAAGTGCAAAAACGACCCGTCTGGCAATGATGTTAATCTCAAGTCTACAGAGGGTGCAAGTCCATATTCCCCATTTGAAAGAGGAGTTTGTTTTCCTTGGTATATCTCAAAATCGAGAACCATACCTGTTGATGAAGGCAGTAAAATTTTTTTTAATCCTTCTGATCGTGATTTGCCTTTTACATATTAACTTAAAGAGCACCGATCAGTAAAAGGAATCATCTGTTCTTTAATGCTGTAGTTGTTTATTGATCTCTCTATTTTAAAACATGCATTTTGTACCGCAGTTATGACAGGTTGTACTTTCCATAGCCTGGTATTTTGATGATTCTCAGGGGGAGAATTTGTGTCAACAAAGTGAAGGCAGATTCTCAGTTACATAACCCTATCCCTGGGTGAAGTACCAGATATACTTGATACTACCCAGCTTTCCAATATGAGGATAAACGAAGATACCGAGTATAACCAAAGAGGAAATGGGCTCCGAACATTTTTTTGATTCCAGCTGCTGTCGTATTTAATGCTTTCTCTTTTTTTGACAATTAATATTCTTCTTCATGTGCCGTGCTCGATTATCGAGCGTTGGCTATCAAATTGACTATAGTATTTTTCAACCATCGGTTTATTTTCATCGGCTACTTAAATTTCCTCTTTCTGATGATAATTTTAATACAGAACTTAATACTCTTAAGCAGATTGCTTTCAATAATGGCTATGATCCTAACATTATATACAAACTTCTAAATAGAGCTAAACTAAAAATTGCAGAAAAGCTTGCATATTCATCACAGTTTTTTTAACCTAATGCTTCAGATACCATCAGATATTTCTCCTTCACTTATATTAGTAGCATTTCCAATAAAATATCTAAACTTTTTACTTCTACAAATGATAACATCAAAATTTCTTTTAAATCACATAACACTTTAGGTTCCTTCTTAATCAATACCAAAGATAGGATGAATACACTTGATAAAAGTGGTATTTACAAATTAAAATGTGATGATTGTGATGCCTCTTATGTAGGTAGAACCATCAGAAAGTTATCCACTAGAGTCTCTGAACATTTGAAAAGACCAAATTCTTCAAGTCAACACTTAGTATCCAGCAACCATAATTTTAACATCAATTCTGGTTCATCTATCTTACATGACATTAGTAGAAAGAAAAACTATCTTGACTAGGATTTATTGGAAGATTTGGAGATTACAAGGGAAACAAATGAAAACTCTCACTGTCTTAATACTTAAATTAATTTAAATTGTACTAAATTTAATCCTATATTTAAAAACTTTATTACAGATTCACCTCGTAGAGGACCCAGCTCGACTGTTTAGACTTCATGCACTGAGCATTTCAATATTAATTTTAAAGTTCTTCCATTGACTGTGGATTCAACTCAACTACTTGGATTATAACCCATTTATATATTTTGTTTTCAATTTTGATTTTAACTTTTAGTAATTTAACTGCATATTCAGATTTTTCCTTTTTTACAGTACTGATAGCGCTTGGTGGACCATTTTATTGTAGTCAACCATCCACTGTCTAATATAATTGTTTAGTCTTTTCTTACATTCATACTTTATGTCAACTTTAATTGCTCTCAAACTAACATCCTAATTATTATAGACAGGTTTGAGTGTGAGATTTGGATTATTCAATCTACATAAAAAATATACTATATAATTTTATATTTCATCAGTTGATTTCCTATAGTGGTGTCAGTTGGACCTTTGGTCAATACTTAGTTTCATAGAATTTTGAAAGGTGCAGATCACATAACTGCCCTTTACAAGCTGTCATTTGTCACATGTCATCTCAATATTTCCGCCATACCGGGAGCCCATTCTGTCTCCGGCTTCTATATAACATGTAGCTTCTCCTTTTTAAAAATTTTAAAGTGTTTGTTTGTCTTTGTGTATTGTATTGTTATGTCCAAATTTACATGTATGACATTCTACTCATGTCGGATAGGCCACAACTGACGAAGTAAGTCTATAAACGTTTATCACATAAAAACTTTTTTCAACCATAAACTTGGAGTTTTTCATCCAAGTGAATTAATTTTCCTTTTTTATAAAAAACGTTTCTTGGCTTATTTCAGATGCCCCTGCAGATGATCTATTGATCGAAAGTACTTGGGCAAGATTTAATTAATTACTGTGTTCGATAGTTGCCTTGTATACCATCAAAGTATAGTATATACCGTACTGAGGAGATCTAAAGAGATCAAAATACGTATATGCGGCTTGTTGCTGCTCTGTATCAAATCAAAATATAATACCGTCATTTGTTTTGTTTATTTACTTCATTTGGAGTACCAGAAATCGAATTCACTACGAATATAGGCCATGATGGACGGCATTTGGAGTGCAATTTTTAGACTCCCTTGCCGATGCATTCATCAAGCTGTTTGCTTCGCAAGTCTTAGGGAGCACGGCGGCCTATATTTGAATTCGATTTCGCCAGGTAGAAATCATGTGATTTCTCTTTTTATAGTATTTTTGTTGGCGGCAGCTCGGAAAAGAGATGTAGAGGATCTGTTAAACCAATCTTTCAGGTTTCTAAGTCATGACAATTGCTGATGACTGCTACACTGAACTGAAGTTAATTTACTTTACTATTTTATTTTACTTGTATTAAGCACTAAAGTTAATTAAAATTAAAGGTACTCTATACCAATCTAATATGATATTAGATCAAAAAACTCAAATATACACATTTAGAAAGAAAATGCACAGATACGGTAATCTAGGCACGCGTCCTCCCTCAAGTATCGCCACATGAGAAATAAGTCTTTACTCAACGAGTGTCCGGTCAGAAGTGGTCTTCCTTCTGCAAAAATTTACCAAACTACCCACAAAAACGTGAGGGTATCTCCCACCTAAAAATTATGGGACAGTATCCATTTCCAAATAATGGTACAGACGAGAAGAAATATAATCCCACAAAACATTATAGATGAAGATGACATTGAAACGGTTGGAAAGTTTACATACCTGGGAGTAGAAATATATGCCGATGGAGCAGAGGATGGAGAAATACGAAAAAGGATAACGCAGGCAAACAAAGCTTATTTTGCCCTCTCCCATATATTTCGGTCTAAAAGTGTCCACCGAAATACAAAGATGAGAATATATAAAACTTTAATTCGGCCAATAGCATGTTATGGCAGCGAAGCATGGGTCCTGAAAGAAACATCCAAAAACAAACTCGACACATTCGAAAGAAAAGTACTGAGGAGAATACTAGGACCTGTGAGGGAAAACGGAATCTTCAGAATTCGATATAACAACGAGCTCTATCAACTGTATAAGGAAAAACCCCTGTCAAACTTCATTAGAATACAAAGATTGCAATGGGCCGGACATGTGATACGAATGGGAGAGGATAGGCTACCAAAACGAGCACTGAACGCCAGAATGCAGGGAAAGAGACCAGTTGGAAAGCCAAGAAAGCGCTGGGAAGACACAGTAAGCAGCGACGCACAAGCACTTTTAGGAGTCCGTGTATGGAGAAGAGCAGCCACAGACAGACAAGGGTGGAGGCAAAAAATAAAGGAGGCCAAGGCTCATTTTGGGCTGTAGTGCCGTAGAAGAAGAAGAATCCATTTCCAAGAACGTAAAAAGCTCTAACGAACATGGAACATTACGGTACCCATCTAGCTAGAAACGTGACGAAATATAAATTCCCTTGGAGTAGGTTATTGTAGAAAAAATCATCATAACGTGCTCCCGACGATATTTACCGAATTTATGAAAAAGAACCCGGAAAAGGATTTACTAAGAATTAGTGAAACCGGCGTCTCTAAATGAGTAGGTAGTTAGGTTCTTCCGTCACCTTTCGATAGTTTTTAATTAAATTTAGCTACCTATTTGCGAAAACGACCATTAGCGTATCAGCAACGGAGGTAAAGGGAATAAAAATAGTTAAAATTTTAATTATATAAAAAATGTTACAGGTTTATATATATTTTCAATTACAATACTTATGAAATTTATTGCAAACAAATGCTACATCTTATTCAGAATGCGAGATGGCTTCACCTTTTTTTTTTTTAATTTTCGTATGCATAATTAAGATTATGCCAAACTCTAAATGTAACAAGGTGGTATGGCCATTTAAAGCAAATTAGAGCAAAGAAAACAGTACTTACATAAACTTTATTTACATTTAACATAAAGCCATGATACTGTGACTATAAGATAAGATATTGCGCATGTTTTTGTGACGTCATTGGAGAGTTGCACGTTCGAAATGTCAGTTTTTTGTATATATCAATAAATAATCTTTAATAAATAGTTTAGAGATATCCTTATGTGTACGATTATTGTAATTATTAAACCTCTTAACTTATTTTCATCTAGTAATTTCATCACAGAATGCATACAAATCCCATTTAACTTTAACAAGATTTCAAATTCTACTCTCCAATGACGGCATGCGCGAACCCGACCGATTTTGAGCCACGGGAAGATTCTATCTTGTTATTCATAGTATCATGACATACAGCATAAGAAAACTAAATAGTCTGTAACAAGTTTCCTCCCTCAAAAATAGTTAATACCCGATGTCTTAACGAGAAAACAAAAAAATCCAGATATATCTACCACCTAAAGCTTCAAAAACTAATAAAAGGTTGACAAAATTTGTTAAATGTATAATCAAACTATTCTTAATCCTGTCTTGGAAAATGAAGCTTCAAATCTTCCTCTTTTTCTGCTTTTTATCAATCTTGTTTCCCATATCTCGAGTCACTTTAAATCATTTCCTTTTTCTTTTTTTTTGTCAATCTTGCTTTCCATATTCTTCAGCATAAAATGTATTGAATTTTGAAGTAAACCTAATTTTACAAGATGTATTTATTGGATTTTGCAGGATCTACGACATTTTATGCCATTTTACATTCAATTAATTAATACAATATTAAAACCTTGACAACCGGCGAGTATCGATTTCAAAATCATATTTTCACGTGCAACTATATGTTTCCATATATATTTATCCTTTTGGTAATATATTTCACCCTCGCTGCGACCGAAGAAATATAGACACATTCATTCAAAGATTCTACCGAACGTATTTCATCAAATATGAAGGTAAAACTTAGTTTGACAACTATTTGACATTTATTGGTATATCAATTTCTTTCAGAGCAAACAGAAATTTTCAGTTTCGGAGAAGAATCTCTTGAAAAGACAGTCTCTAGATAATTACAGTCCCCTAGATTTTCGCACGAGCAGAAAAATTTCTAGTAATCCGTTGATACAGAAGAATATAAATTTTTTGCGGGCGTATAGTAATTTTCTAGGGAGGCAGTCGTATGGTAACACTGGGAACGTTGATTCCTATTTCAAACAGAGTCTGAGACGTGAACCGTTTAATTTGATTCGAGATCTTCAGCTGACAAATTTGGTGAGATCTACCTCATCCTTTGAGAGTGTTAGCCAGGTATGTTTTCAGTTTTAATGGTCTATAAAATCTGATTAATCAATGATTAGAATTTAAGTTTACTTTACCATATAGACTAGATAAGATTAATATCTATTATTATTATCACAACATTTGTTATATACGAACAATATTTCTGGAAATTTTATTTTTTTTTTAACATGTCATAGCTTTTTGTCTAATGTCCGATAAAAGTTTTATATTGAGTTATTTAGTAGTTAACGGATAGCTCAAGTTTACATGTGGTATGATTTCCAGCGATAACACAGAAAAGAAAATTGTATCAAAAATATCTGAACACAAGAAATGTGGAAGACAGAATCGAATATTAGATAATGCAAGCGATGACCAGAAGAAAAATATGCCAAAAGAAAAAATTAATCCTGGAAAAAAAAGTGCACCATGCTAAATACATACATTGGTGGAAGCCAAAGTTCAGAAAGCTGGAAAGTATTAAAAAATGTAAGAAACAACAGAAAAAGAAATATTATCCGGTCCATATCACCGCAAACTTCGGAAGAATACTTTAAAGATTTACTAACAGAGACAAGAGAGTCCTTTAAACAGCTAAAGAACTACGATCTACAAGTCATCAGGCTGATAGGATCACCAATTAAAATAAATGAAAGAGAAGTCGAAACCGTATGCAGACATCTAAAGAATGGCATGAAATGTAGCTCCAGAACTTATCAAACATGGACCCAAAATACTAATTCAACGGCTACGACAACTTTTCCAGGAATGTATAAATAAACATGAAATACCTGAGGAATGGAAAGAATCGCATATGAACACCATCCATAAAAAGGGAGATAAAACTAAACCTGAAAACTATAGAGGAATTGCAGTTACTAGTAGTATTAGCAGAATATATGGGAAAATAATAAAAAATCGAATAGAAGAAGAATACCAAGATATGGAAGCCGAAGAACAGGCTGGTTTTCGTGCAAGTCGATCTACAACAGACCATGTCTTCTCTATTACTCAGATAACTGAAAAGAAAGTTGCTCGTGGCCAAGAAGTCCACCTGACGTTCGTAGACCTTAGGAAAGCATATGATAGTGTCCCGCTTGATAAATTATGGGAGGCACTGGGGAAAACAAATATGAATATAGAATTGATTGAAGCGGTAAAAACGTTGTACTACCAACAAACAACCAGAATTAAAACAGGAAATCTGATATCACCAGGATTCAAAGTGACTAAAGGACTAAGACAAGGATGCTGTATATCTCCAACATTATAAGGAAAATAAAAGAAGAATATACAACACCATAATAAAAAGTATCACAACATATGGATGCGAAGTGTGGTTTTTAAAGGACAGAACAGAGAACATGCTTAGAGCAACAGAAATGGACTTCTGGCGCCGCTCGGCTGGAATCTTCAGACGCGACAGAATAACAAATGAGAGAGTCCGAGAAATCATGGGGGTTACACATAATATCGTTGATGACATCAAAACAACACAACTTAGATGGTACGCACATGTAAGGAGAATGGCGGAGAATAGAATACCAAGACAAATTCTTGAATGGCAACCAAGAGGTAGGCGGAGACCTGGAAGGCCTAGAAGAAATTGGAGAGGAGTTGATAAAGAAATCAGGGAAAGAGAACTGGAGGACAATCTATGGAACGATAGAATGAGATAGAGATTGGAAATCGCAAGACGTCGAAGAACGTTATACACCGACATTATATATATATATATATATATATATATATATATATATATATATATAGAAAAGAAATTTAATCTTTGTAGATAAGTTAAATAGTAAACTCTAAAAAGATTTTTTTTTGCGATTTCCCCAATATTTAAGAGTTTACTATATATATATATATATATATATATATATATATATATCATCATCATGTGCAACTTTATCTACCGTTTCCAATTACGGTGCAGCCTTCCTTATATATATATATATATATATATATATATATATTATATATATATATATATAACAAGCGAGTCTTCTACAGCTGGCGCCGCTTCTCGCATCCTAATTTCCAGCGTTTTCTGTCGAAGCAATCTTCAGTTGTTAGATCTCTGGCGGTCATTGCATCGTCGACATCGTCTCTCCAGGATCGTCTTGGTCTACCTCGTTTTCTTCTAGTTGGCGGAGTCCATTCTTCTATTTTTTTTGGCCATCTATTTTCCGGCATTCTCTGAAGGTGTCCATACCAGTTAAGTCTTTTGGCTTCGATTGTGTCTATTATGTCAAGATCGATTTCCATTTCTCTTCGAATATCTTCGTTTCTCACCCTATCTAGTCTAGTGAGCTGGCAACATCGTCTCCAGTAGTTCATTTCCATGGCCTTAATTCTTGATTTGTTTCTTTGGTTTATTTCCCAGAGTTCGGCGCCATACAGTCCAATACTTTCTATTATTGTTTTATAAATTCTTCTTTTATTTTCTTTTGTTATTTTTTTATTCCATAATAGTCCGTGTAGCTGTCTGGTGGCTGATCTTGCTTGGCCAATCCTGGAATGTATTTCTTCGCTACTTCCTGCTTTTGATGTTATTTGGACTCCCAAGTACTTAAAATTGTCTGTTGGTTTTATAGTTCCCATTTCTATTTGTAGGCTTTCTGGTTGTTCTCCTACAACTAAGTACTCAGTTTTTTGTATATTAATTGTGAGGCCCCATTTGGTGTACTCATCTTCCAGTTTTCTAAGCATGTAGCTTATATCACTCTCGTCTTCAGCTAGAATGGCTTGGTCATCAGCGAAATGTATCGTGTACAATCTATCATCTCCGATTGGGATGCCCATATTGCAGCACTTTCTTCTCCACAGTGAGAGTGCCTCATTTAGATATATTTTGAAGAGTGTAGGTGCTATGCAGCAGCCTTGCTTTAGGCCCTTACTAATAGGAATTTCTCTAGTTAATCTATTTCCAGTTTTAATGTTTGCCGTCATATTTTTGTAGAGCTGTTGTACTGCTTGTATATTTTTTTTGCTTATTCCTTGTTTTTCCATTGCTACCCAAAGCATTGAAAGTGGTACACTATCGTATGCCTTTGTCAGATCTATAAAGACTATATGAGTTGAAAGGTTGTGGGCTAATCTTTTTTCGATAACTTGCTTTAGAGAGAATATACTGTCCATGCAGGATCTGCCTGCACGAAAGCCATTCTGTTCTTCTACATCTGTCATCTCTTTTTCAATTTTATTTTTTATTATTTTTCCATACAGTCTTGAGAGTGAATTTATGACACTTAGCCCCCTATAGTTTGAACAATTCTTTCTATCTCCTTTTTTGTATATGTTGTTAATATGTGCTTTTGTCCACTCCGGTGGTAAGTCGTGTCCATTATAGAATAAGGTGAAGACATACGCCAGTAATTCCCGTAATACTTGTGGGCTATGTTTTAATAATTCATTTGGTATACCTTGTGGTCCGCATGACTTCCGATTTTTTAGAGTTCGTATTGCATTCTCGACTTCCTGTACTGTTATTTCATCGTCTTCACTGAATTCCAGTTCATATGTTGTTGTACTGATGTTCGTGAATTGAGGTCTTGTTTCAGTTAAAAGTTGTGAGTAGTGTTCGATCCAAGATTTTTCTTCTATTAAATCTATTCTACTCGTTTCTTTTCTGTTTGTTCTCAGATTTTTTACCGTTTTCCATGCTTCTCTTGATCTTGTTGACCCTATATATTTGTTGAGTTCTTCGCATTTACTTTCCCAGGAAATATTTTTTGCTTTAGTTACTAAGTTTTTTACTTCTCTGTTTAATCTTGCATATGTTCGTCTATCATCTGGATCATTTGTTTGCAGCCACTTTTGATATGCTTGTTTCTTGTTGTGTACTGCATTGGCGATGTCATTTGTCCACCACAATGGAGTATTCTTTTTGTTCTTTTGGATTGTGCCGAGCGCTTCGTAAGCTGCTTCATTGATTTTATCGATTATCTCTTTATAGGTATTCTGGGCTGAGGAGTAGATCAGGTTTGCCAATTTTAGGCTAAGTCGCAGCTTATATAAGAATGATGTCGAGTCGTTTTGCAGTGCATCAATATTGTATTTAGGTAGATTCGATTCCAGGGGTTTTGATTGAGCTAGTTGGTTGTCATTTTGATGTAGTAGCCGAGGTCGATACTGTAGGTAACATTTTGATCTTACCATATAGTGGTCTGTTCCGCACTCCGGTCCTCTTAGTACTCTTATGTCTTCAACTTGTATGTGTGTTTCTTGTTTTGTGATGACATAATCTATAATTGACTTTGTGTTTCTCGTTGGTTGAACCCAGGTGTACTTATGTATGTTTTTATGTTGGTAGAATCCGTTTAGGATTTTCAGAGAGTGCTGTTCACAGAATTCGATTAAGTGTTCCCCATTTTCATTTGTTTTAGCGTCACCATATTTTCCTACGACTTTGTCATTTATTTTTGTTCCTGTCCAAGCGTTAAAATCTCCCAACAGCACAATTTCTTTGCGGCTATTTATATTTTCAATGAGTTCCGATAAAGTTTCGTAGAATATTTGTTTAGCTGCTTTTGATGCATTTTCTGACGGAGCATATATTCCAATGATCTCGAGGTCGTGCCCTTTCCACGTAATAGATACTCTAATAATTCTCTCATTGATCTGCTCCCAGCTTTTCAGGTTTCCTTTTAAGTCTTTTTTAATCAATATTGATACCCCTGCTTGTGCTCTTTTGTCTTTCTCTACTCCACTATAAATATGTATAAAACCTCCTATGTCTTCACTACCTTGGCCTTTTTTCTTTGTTTCGGTAAGAACCGTGATATCTGATTTTATTTTCTTTACTTCTGCCATGACTTCGTCTGACTTGGTTCTCCACCCTTGGATATTCCATGTATTTATATTCAAAGTCCTTGTTCGTTTGCTACGTCGTTTTCGTTTTTTCCCGTCCATATTCCGAGGCTGGATTTTAGAATTTTTTGCAGTAAGTTTTTCACGGGTGTAGAGGAGCAGGCTCTACGTCCCAACCCCCTACCAGGAGGACCAGGATTTTCTGTTAGGGTTTACTCCCTTAGTCGAGAGAAGAGTAGTAGAGTGTAGTAGACAGAATTATAGTGACCCGTCCGCCCTCGGATTACCCTAATAGCCAGTCGGGGTCGGAAAAACAAGAGTTTGCCAAGAGAGGCCGATAGGAAAGATTAAAGACATTTCACTCCAGACAAGTTGAAGCCTTCCTTATTTCAGTGTTATTCTATGTCCCTATTATTATTTGATGATGTCTTATTTATCCGTTGTTCTTATAATTTGCGCTCATTTGCGCCCATATTTTTCTATCTTGTGTTATTCGAGACCACGTTGTTCCTGTTAATTTTCTTATGTCATAATCCCATCTGAGATTCGGGCGCCATTTTGGTCTCTTAGCGTTCCTGGAGTACCACATAGTTGTTCTAGTGGTCCATCTGTTATCTGTTTTTCTTGCTATATGTCGTGCCCATTGCCATTTCAGGGATTTTATTCTTTGGATTACATCAGTCACCTGGGTTTGCCTCCGTATCCATTCAATTCTTTTATGATCCCTCTTTGTTATCCCTAGCATACATCTTTCCATTGCTCTTTGAGTTACTTGGAGTTTCGACGTTATTTTCCTCTTTAATATCCAAGTTTAACATCCATATGTCAAGACGGGTAATATGTTTTGATCAAATACTCTCTTCTTGAGGTATAGTGGCATTTTTAACTTGAAGACTATGAAATTTCGTCCGAATGCTGACCATGCTTGTTTTATTCGTCTGTTGATTTCCGGAAGTAGTGATCCCAATTTATGTATGAGCTGTCCCAGGTATATATATTATATATATATATATATATATATATATATATATATGATTTCCAGCGACATATCTTCATTAATCCAGGTTTCATCCAGAAAAGATATTTGTTTCTTCTTTTGATGGTCAACCGTAATGTGTGGTCTTACTGCTTGTACATTTATTTATTTTTACTGTTTTACTGGTAAAATGTTTTCTTGTAAGATCTTCGTCTTCTACTTCTTTTTATATACACATGGCTCTGTCTATTTTTCAATGTAAATCCAGTAAGTTGTCATTCCATCGTTTTCGTGGTCTTCCTACTGATCGTCTTCCTATTGGGAAACGTCTCTTGCCGTCTTTACTACTCTATTTGTTCTCATTCGGCTTATATGATCGTAATATTTTACTCATACTTGTAAGATAAAGAAGGTATTACCGTTGATTTCGATCATTCGACGGCACTGGTAATATTTCAAATGGACTTGCAAACTTCTGCAAACCAACAGGATCTGGTTCACTGATGTTGCTGCATTTTCGTCTCTGAGTATAAACCAGTATATGTAAATAAATTAGACTGCACACAACCACTAGGGTGCAAGGGTGATATTGATCCAGGAGGAATACTTTTCATGAGTTGCAAATTGACATTCTTTCTTGGAAAGATTAACATGGGTGGAATTAATTGGGAAGTTCAACTTCTCCATGGCCGTCCTCTCTTTCTTGTTTTCCAGGAGGGATCCATTCCAGTACTCTTCTAGGTCATCTGTACTCTGGCATTCTTTTAAAATGTCAGAACCAGATTAATTGTTTTCTTTCTATATCAACATTGATATTTCGCTTCATTTCATTTCGTTTCTTATTTGTTCGTTCCTAACTCTTTCTAGTCTCGATCTACCGCAGCTTCGTCTCAGATAATCCATTTCTGTCGTCATAAGTTTGTTTTTATTAGCTTTGGTGACGTCCCATACTTCCGAACCGTAAAGTGTACTACTTTGGACTATACTACCGTAAATGTGTTTTTTGGTTTCTCGTCGAATTGTTTTTTACCAGAGAAGAGAGTTAAGGCACGGGTCGCTGCTCGGCCCTTATTTATTCTTTCCCTGATTTCATCTGCGCTATTTCCCTTCTTGTTGAAAATGACCCCCAAATATTTGCAGGATATCACGCCTTTGATTTTGTCGTCTTCCAAGACTAGGTCACATATTTCATCTGTTCCCATTGAGAGATATTCACATTTTGTCATATTCATGTTTAGACCTGCCATCTCATATTCTTCTTGCAGTTTTCTTACCATATAGCTATGATCGTAACTGTCTTCGGCAATAACTACCTGGTCATCCACAAAGAAAAGTGTATATAGCGTGTTTTCTTCTACCGTAATTCCCATGTTATTACATGTTTTTACCAATTTCACTAAGGATCTGTCCAAATAGATTTTAAATAAGGTAAGTGACAGACAGCAGCCTTGTCTTAGTCACTTTGTTGTTTGAAAAGGAGAGGTGATTTCTTGTCCCATTTTAATTCTTGCAAAGTGTTGTTCGCAGTATTTTTGAGTGGCGTTAATAGGAATTGGGTTTATTATCAAGTCACCCATTTCAATCCATAGTTGGAAGATCGGTACACTGTCATATGCTTTTTCCAAATCTATTAAAACTATTATGGGTTTCTCTATTTCTCTTCACTCGTTTTTCCATTGCAATTTTTAATGTGAAAATATTATCCATAGTGGAGCGTTCGGCCCTAAATTCCGCTTGTTCTTTGGGTTGTTTATCTTTAATATCATTTTCTATAAGAATTTCGTAGTACTTTTGGGTATAGTCGGCATATAGTAGTAATCACTGCGATCCCTCTACAGTTTTCAGGATCCGTCTTTGTGCTTTTTATAGTTTTAATGATCAATATCTAAGCAACTCTGGATGTATTCCGCCTGGGCCTGGAGAGTTTCTTAACTTCATTCCCTTAACAGCTTCTTTAACTTATTCTATTGATATTTCCATTCTTCCTTCTACTTCCACTTGTCCATTTATCTGTTTAAACCTTTCTCTTCTCTCTGTTAATAAGTTCTCAAAATGCTCTATTCATGTGTTCTCTGGTATTCTATTTATTATGACTTGGTTTTTTGTCGTTGTTTTCATTGTTTTTATAGTTCTCCAGGCGTCAGAGCTCTTTTTCCCTCTTATATGGTTGTCTAGGTATTGGCAGTTTTGTTCCAATGCACTATTTTTGACAATATTTGTGTAATTGTAATTACACTCCTAGTAATTTTAAAGATGTTTTTAATAACTATATAAAAACTAATAATGCAACTATCCTACTTTTTCAGGTTGCTTGTTTCTGAAAAACTTTGTATGATAATAATTTTTTCTGCTATCTTGACAATCTAAAATTACAGTTATCGATACAATCGAGTTGTGAAGAATTTTATTTCTCCTACCTAATCTAGATCATACTTTTAGACTTTCAATAGACGCAAAAGATCTCGAAGGACTATTTTAAAACCTAGGAAGATCTTAGAATTTCCACACAAGTCAGAAATCGAACCAAAAAAGTCAGAAGAATTTTCTGTAAAGGAGCTTTTTCTAACAAATAACAATAATAATTGGGAAAGTGAATCAGACAGTGGCGTAAACCCGGACTTTTCAACTGGAGATAATAATTTTTTGTCTCAACATAGCGATTTTCAAAGCCATCCTTTAGGTAAGCATTGTAGATACTGTTAATTGACTAAAAAAACTATACTATAGGAGTTTACATAACACAAGGAATAGAGTAACTTGCTTTGGTAGGACTTTTTTAATTTGATTTGTTTGCTTTTATTAGTTTTTTACTTGGAGGTCTACGGTTAAAGACGACTGAGTTGTAAGTACTGATTTCTTTTCAACTTTCTTAGTCTTGGTCATTTTTCATTGTTTTTCATGCAACTTTTTTGTCACTTTCTTTACAGATTTTGTTTTGTGCCGGTCGCTGCAAGTTTGAGTTGCAATTTCAGCTTTCTTTTTTTTTCCTCAATTCGGTTTTACAGGTCCCGATGACGACGATGAGAGATTGAGACTACCTTGAAAGATCCTGCAGCTTCTCTTCTCTTCGTCTATATCAACAATCCAATGGCGGTGGCAATATTTTTTGATAAATGTTGCAACTGTTACCATATCTACTTTGTAATTAGCCACGATATATTTCTTTTCAGCTTGAAGAGAAGAATCAACCCTTTCCTTAAGGGTTTTTATAGTAATATTGACCATTTCAGAGAAGAATCAACTCTTTCCGTAAGGGTTTTTATAGCATTATTGACTATTTCAGACGTTGAAAAGGTTTTGCTGAGGATTTTTTCCTTTGTAGATAGTTAATATGTTTGTATGGTTTTAGATGAGCGGAAACGGTTATTTCTTGATGGGTTTCCTTTATCAGTTTTCTTGTACAAATATACTTTATTCTTGTAATTTTTTCACCACTTTTAGTCAGTTCGATTGTCGAATTGGTTAACTTAGGTTTATTATGAGTAATACAATTAATCTAGTATAATCTCCACGAAGGCGGTTGTTTTTGACTGTAATATCATCTCTTTTCGATGATTTATACACCTTCATTTTCACAAGTGCTTTATTTTTGTTTAAATATTTCATTTATTTTTAATTTTAATAGAAAAAGTCGAGGAAACTCTAGAAGAAGACGACAACGCTGCGGATGCACGAAAAGATAAAACATCCATACAAGATATCGATAAACTCAACGATCGTTTGGATATATTACTTAAAACAGCCATGAATGTTATGGTAGAAGACGATAGGGAAAAGGAGGGAGAAGAAGAAGGAGAGGGAGAAGGAGCAGACATGGAGGAGAAAATAGCAGAGGGAGAAAACGTAGGTGAAGAATTTGATGAAAGTGATTACACTGGTGGTGGTGGTGAAGAGTTTGCAGGATTTGCTGATGATGTAAGTAATTTATATATAGGTAGGTTTAACTATTACCTACTAACCTAAACTTATTTATTGTAATTAACCCAAATGTTAATAATAATCATATTTCTACATTAACGTAATAATATTATAAATATGTTTCTTCATTACCAGCAGCTTTGTTGTAACTTTTTATGAAAGTTGGAAGCCATTGGAAGACCTACAATAGCGCTGAAACATCACTATTACTTCTAAAAATTTACTGCCAACAATTTTGATTTTTGATTATAGCAATATATGTATTTCTACATGAAAAATTAAAACAAATAAAAGGTCTACTACTACTATCGGTTTACAGCGTTCTCCGACGCCTTCTGACTCCTAACCGCCATTCTTCTTTATTTAACCATAGGCCTGGAGGCATTTCCCTTTCCTCTAGTTTTTTTCAATTCTCTCTCTCCAGCTTCTTCTCGGCCTTCCTCTTTTCCTTCTCCCTTGTGGTGTCCACGTCAAAATCTATTTCGAAATCCTGTCATCTGGCATTCTCTGTACATGGACGTACCATATTACCTGTTTTGTTTTTATGTCATCAACTGTTGTATGATTGACTCCCATCATTTCCCGTATTCTCTCATTTGGTAACTGATCTCTTCTTGATTTGCCTGCTGCTCTTCTCCAGAACCTATTTCTGTTGCTAGTAACAGTTTTTTTTCTCCAAAATTAGGTCTATTTAAATTTATTTCGGAATAACTTTTTCATATCATATATTTATTTTTATTTTTTTTTCATAGGAAGATGACGAATTGAAAGAAGTGGAGGCAATGATAGAAAGAGCTTCCAAAGAATTGGCGGAAGTTGCAGATGAAAACCAAAAAATATTGGAAACTTTAGAGGTACTTATATTTTTGTTTAATTATCTCTTAACTCTATTAAGACGCTGAAGGATCAGCGTGGCTTTATGAATTATATCTAAAACAAACACTAGAAAAACACTTGGAATGCACTATGTAGACAGACACGACATTTATTGATCTTCAAAAAGTGTCTGATAGTGCCTGTCCCATTAGCCAAGCTGTTAGAGGGGCTAGAAGACAAGAAAATTTCACCGATTTTCATTAAAGCTATGAGGGAGATATACGACAATATGACAAGTTTATTAAAGATGACGGTGACAAGATAAAAGTGACCAAAGGAAAAACTTTACTACAGCACAAAAATAGGGTAGGGCTTCTGAGACATCTTGCGCTTGCACTTTTATATATCTTGACTTGCATCGTAGTTTCTCTTATTGTTGTATATTATAGATACTAACTTTAATAGCTTTATAACAATCTTGCTATTTATTAATTTATAAGTTTTATGTACTTTTAGTTAAATCAACAATGACATTTTATTCCTAACTTTTATTTTACATCTTACAATATTATTAACTTAATATATTTTTTTTAGGAAGGCGATGAAGAAGTTGAAAGTAAGTCTAACATTTAGTTTCTTATCTCTACTTTATTGGATCTTCAATAAGTTTTGTCGTCTAATAGTCTAATAATTTTTAAATCTAAAAACAAACTTAAAAACAAACATGACGTCTCCATATTTCATAAACCTACCCATACTGACACGACTATACACAATTCATCATCCCATCCAACACAACATAAACTGGCAGCTTATCATAGTATGTTACATAGATTAACAGAAATTCCGATGTCAAAATACAACTTTGAGACAGAATTAAATATAATTAAGCAAATAGCAGTAAACAACGGATACAACGAACAAACAATTAATAAAATGTTAAATCAAAAACTACACAAGAAAGCCCTGAAATTAGTATTTCCACCACCAGAGAAAAAACCCAGTATCTTCTGCTCGATTACATATACAGGCAAAATAACAACAAAAATTGCCAAACACATAAAAAAGAAAGGAATAACACCAGCTTTCCGAACAAATAACAACCTAGGCAAATATATTAAAAATAACAAGAGCCAAAATAAAAAACACTTACACAGTGGTGTGTACAAACTTCAATGTAGCGAATGCCCAAAAACTTACATCGGTCAAACTGGTAGAAACTTAATAAACGAATAGCAGAACATAAAAGGGCTTTCAATAATAGAAAAACAGATTCGACATACGCACTTCACCTTCTAGATCATAATCATTCTTTTAATGACAAATTTAAAATTCTTCACATTCAAAATAAAGGCCTTAAGCTATCTTTGTTAGAATCTATGGAAATCAACAAATTAAAAAACACAGATATAATTCTGAATAACCAACTTGAGACAAAACAGTTCTTTCCTCCTAAACCTATTTCATTAGAGACTAGAAATTGTAAACGCATGCCAAAAATAGATCACTTGAGAAAGGCAATCAGCCGAAACAGCAGTAGTAATAAGAGTTAAAATAAATTTTGTGGAAGTTTGAAAACAAAGTTTTCAGTGTTTTATTGTTACATAAAATCAATTTCCATCAAGTAACGGTCGAATCCATCAAACTGCTTAATTTTTCTAGGCGCATCCTTTTCTTTTACTTGGAGGTTTCGCTTGCTAACGACCTGGGAGGCCAGGTGGTTCTGTGTTGTTATTCCTCCCCTGCCAGATCTTGCACTCCGATATATATAATCAGTAGTCTTCACTTTCAAAGCTGTAGCCATGATAGATGTACAAGAGATATCCATATGGATATTTAATGTAGTAGTTTCTCCTTGCTTTCTTTCTACATCCTTACGCCGTTGACCTAGTTCTCGGTTCATCCACCTTTAGGGCCAGTTTCCCAACCCTAGGACACATAAAGTTGATACCACTGATTAACATACAGTTTTTTGCAGTTCTTGATTAAAATTAATTAAATTAAAATTTATTTTAAGTAATGTTTGATAATTTTAATATGTTTATTTCTTTGTTCCACTAATCGTGTATTAAATTTTCCCATTTATTGCCCTAATTTGCATTCCTTTCCTTTGAGTAATGCGCTTCCACGTACCAATTGATACATTTATATTGTCACTTAATCTGCATTTGGACTCCTATCCTTTTCAGTTTTCATACTCAGTCAATTTAGTGACCTTTTTCCGTATTTTTTAATGTCTATCTTTTCATGCCATAGGTTTTTTCCGATTCACATTCATATTACGTCTATCTGCCTTGTCATTATTGTTATTACTACCCCCAATTTGTTATCTAGTGAGATTTTTGGAACATATTTCTCGGTTTTTTTCTTTATTTTATTCCAGTTCTACTACTCTCCATTTATTGTAACTTTATTGTTGCATCTTTTCCCCTTTCCTTGTCATGCTAAATTTATTCTAATAAAATTTGCCTTTTTCCCTCAAGAAATGAGGTAGATATATAAACAATATTTTAAATGTATGTTTTACCTTTGATATATTTTTTACATACATTTATAGAAACGGAAGAAGATGCCAAAGAAACTCAAAAAACTCAAGAAATTAAATACAACGAAGCAACAGACCACGCCGTGTTAAAAGAACTAGAAGATGCAGAACGACAGGCAATTCAAACAGCCAACATAATAAGCAAATTGAAAGAACAGGTCACGATCTTATCTAAAAAGGAAACAATGACAGAAAGGAAGCCAAAGAACTCGAGAAGATGAATATGGAATTAAAGAAACAAATGACCATTTTCGAGCAAAGAACGAAAAGAATCCAGGAACTGATCGCGCGGTCTGATCTGTTTGAAAACGTGGGACTCTTTAAGTCTTCGTTGAGGTAAATGATATTGTTTGTAGTATAGTTCTAGTATAGTTATGTAGCTTTATATAGTATTTATAGCGTTGCCAAGATCACTATAATAAAACCATATTTAAACTTAACTAGAAGACCTTCTGGATGCTGATAAGAAAAAAGCAACAAACTGCTGGACAATTACGGATAAGTAAGATATTAATTGACCATGTAGAATTTTATGTGTACCTTGGCACCAACGTAAATGCAAAATAGGAACAGGCCACAGAAATTAAGGCGAGAATAGAACGAACTAAAGCAGCATTTAACAATATTGAAAAAGCTTCTCATAAGCAAGGATTTGTCTCTTCCCCTAAAACTACGTCTAGTTAAACGCTACATCTTTCCGATCTTACTGTATGGTATGGAGGCCTGGACGCTGACTAGGCCGCATATTGAGACACGATAAGTACCGTCTACTGCAATTGATTGTCCAGGAAAAAATAGACAGTAAGCAAGGGCCAGGCAGGAGAAGACGTGGCTGAACAAGATCAGAATTGCCATGCTAATAGCCAACGTTCGCAACGGACAGGGCACTTAAAAAAGAAGAAGAAGACCTTCTCTTTTAAGATTTGTTAAAAGATCATTAAGTATTACTGACTTCTTTCTTTAATAGTTGATTGAACTCTAAGGTAGGACTTTTTCTGATATAGAAATCTCTTAGGCCTGATCTAATATTGAAAGTAGATTTTTTGTTTTAAACAAATCATTTTTCAGCCACAAAGAAGACGTCTTACCAAAAGTCGTAGTTTGCGGAACTACAGAACAGCACATGCCCAAAATACTAATTTGCGATGGTAGCAAAATCAAATCCAAATCTGACCGCAAAAAACGATCATCTTCAGCAAAATCATCTCGAAGACCAGATATATGTACTTGCGAGACCACTGACCAAGGAACAGACCAAGACCTTTTGGAAATGACGCAGCACTATCAAAGAGCAGATCTAGAGCTTCTGGGAATGAGGCAGCAGCAACAGTTGTCGCCACAGATGCCTTTCCAGATGATGCCTCCAATGATGCAGCCTCAGATGGCACCACAAATGATACCGCAACAGGAAAATACGTGCGAGTGTCACCAACCGCGAGCATCGCAACGAGCACAACAGATGCCGATGACGCCTCAAATGCAGATGCCGATGACGCCTCAAATGCAGATGCCGATGCAAATGCCGATGCAAATGATGTCGCAAGTTCCGATGGTCCAACAAGTAAATATGATGCAACAAGCTCCACAAAGGACAAGATCTCCATTTCCACCAATGGAAGGTCCGATGGATTATGGTGAATTTGAATCAACCAGGGTATGTAAATTTTATTTGGTATAGGCGTCTTCATCACATTTTTTCCTGCGCATGCGTCAGTATCAGCCATTTTTGCGTACTGTTAGTTGTGAACAAGCATGTTAGATTAGGTTAATATTATAAATAATAATGGATAATATTTATTTAGAACACACGTAATGATTCCTAACATTCCACGAGGAAACTAAGTTCCTGTAGCTGGCTGTATACCATATATCACAAAAAAAATTTGTTAAAATCCTTTATAAAAAGTATATAAAAATGCCTCAAACGGGCTATCACAAACACATTGCAAAACGTTTTCGGATTAAACAATCCATCATCAGTGCAAACCTGAAAGTATATAACCACTTTAATTAAAAAGAACGTTAAATGAAAATGTTGACAATGGTTAGAGCAAAATGTGGTTAATACTTACGGTTGTACATGCTAGTAGCTAGTATAGTTGGTTGCCTATCAATCCTACAAAATTTCATAAATTCTAGTTGACCTAGATTAATTTTTAAAAAACCAATTTTCAATGTTACAAATATACCTATCTGATTAATTTACAATACAGATTACATTATTGATGGTTGATACTGTTACATTATTATAATTTTAACTTTTTCAATTTTAAATAAGGCTGACATCTGTCAATTTTAGACAACTACCGTAAGTTACACTGACTGCTCTGACACAACATCCGTCCTAACTTGTCAACAATGTCATTTTGATCAGTTGTTATCAACAGATCCTCGTAGACACTTCGTCTCAGGACCATTTTACTCATGTAGTCATACGCCGCCATGTTACCTATCCAACGGTAACTTAACCATCACAAATTAGTAATACTAATAATGTAAAACAACTTTAAATTTATAACATTTAAAGGGTTTTTACCCATATATTTTGGTGGCTACTAGCATGTACAACCGTAAGTATTAACCACATTTTGCTCTAACCTTTGTCAACATTTTCATTTAACGTTCTTTTTAATTAAAGTGGTTATATACTTTCAGGTTTGCACTGATGATGGATTGTTTAATCCGAAAACGTTTTGCAATGTGTTTGTGATAGCCCGTTTGAGGCATTTTTATATACCTTTTATAAAGGATTTTAACATTTTTTTTTTGATTCCCAACATGTTTATCAAAACAGCACGAAACTATTTTGGATGGATTAAACTTTATTTGGTATCGGGAGAGAATAATAAATAAGGCATAATTGGCTAATCCTTAGATGTACCTATTTATAGCTATACAATTTGTTATGTTTATTTTTTTCCAATCGTCATTATCATTGTTTAATTCCTTCGAAATGTAGCTTACGCTTTCGCATATTATGCTGTTACGTTGTTCTGTAAGTTTACAGCCTAAATGAAAGATGAAATGGTTTAATTAACTTTATTTACCTCAAAAACTAACTAAATTACAAATATAAAAATGATTAATTACATCAATAATTATCGCTTAAAAGAATTCGCAACCCATGCGCAAAATCAGTACTATATGCGTAGAATCAATACTAATAATAAAACTTCCTTCTGGCTTATATATTGAGAACAAACTGTTTACGAACTTCGTAAATTTTTAAAGATTATCTCTACGTCGATAGAACCAGTTCGTGCAATATTTTGGCGTTGGGGAGAGACTTCTAGACTTCTCTAACGTTTCTTCTTAGAGTGCCTGTCCATTCCGAACGTTGGCGATCATTCTGGCCATGATGACTTTGTTAGTTGCTATACGGAATAGCTGTGTTGAGGTCTTTATATACCATGCTCTCAGGTTAGCAAGCCAGAATATTCTTCTTCGTCCTAGGACCCTTTTCCTTCAATTTTACCTTGTAAAATGCATTAGAGTAGCTCATATCTGCCTTGATTTCTCTTTATATATCCCAAGTACTGCAGCTAACGGCCCTTTACGATGTTGACAAAATCCGCGGTTGTGTTTATCCTCCGTAGTACTTCTTCATTGGTGACTTCGTCTGTGCATGGTATCTTCAGGATCCTTCTGTGTAACCATAGCTCAAAAGCCTGAAGTTTTGATAGAGTTTCCGCCTTCAATGTCCACGTCTCTACTCCGTACAGAAGCACTGAGCACACGTAATATTTAAGAAGCCTTATTTTTTATTTCTAGGGTGAGATCATGGCTCTTGAACACAGAGATCATAATCAACAATGCACTTTTTGCCTTTCCGATGCGACATTTAATCTCTTGGGTATTATTATACGAGTCATTGATTATAGTTCCCAAGTAGTTGTACTCTGAGACACGTTCAATTCTCATTTGGTTCACATACAGATTAGCTCCAGTTATGTTTTCCTTGCTGGCGATCATTAGCTTGGTTTTGCTGGTGTTTATATCCAGTCTATATGTTCTGCTTGGTTCCGTTATTTTGTTCGTTAAGTTTTGCAGCCCATCTATGGTATTGGAAAACACTATTGTAGAGTAATCGTCATTTGGGAAGGCATCTAATTTGCATATTATGAGGCATGTCGAAATTATAGATAAATAGATACAGCTAAAACATATTATTCTGAATAAAGGAAATTTTTTAGTTTTCAATAATTTTGAACATATAGCCAACATTAGAAAAATGATCAGTAAGATATTTGATGGGACAAAACAATACTACTTTCGTAATACGTTTTACATGAACAAACAAACTATTTTTATTGTACAAAAGAAATATTATGTTCTGAATATTGATAAGTTTAATAAAATGGATTTTTAAAATAGCAAAATATTAAAAAGTGAGGATATTTATATGCTAATGAACGGTCCCAATTATATGTACCTAGATCTTCTACCTGATTTAATTCTTTTCTTAGAAGCCTTTTAGTGATATAATAGAGTCATGGAAACATCAATATTTCTTTTGTTTTTTGGAAAGGCCTGAAGACTACCGTCAATATTGTTGTTATTATAAAATATATGCACATCTAAATTTGTAAATGAAAACTTTAAAGATATAAAATTAACTCTATATACATACCCTTTAAACATTCATATACCTAATGTGAATGTTTCAAAGAAGAACAACAAAATCTAATTTAATTTTCTGCTTCCGAAGAACACTCGATGTCACTGTCGTCACTTTCTAAGTTTACTATAATGGGATTAGTATCTTCTTGATGGTCTATTTGGACTTCGGATGTTAAATAACTGTCTTCTATTTTAATTGCATGATGACATCGTTTTCTCCACTCATCTGGGGTTATTTCGGAAACTCGTTTTTCCAACAGGTGTCTCACATCTTCCAATTTAAAAGTTACGTTATTTTGTGCGATATTATTTTTAATCGCAGCCCATATTAGCTCTATCGGATTTAAATCCGGATGGTATGGAGGTAACGGTAAAGGAGTGTGACCATATTTACGTAAAAGTTCATCGAATTTATACCTTTTGAAACTATTTTTATGGTACTTAATCAACTCATACAATTCGGGTTTAAACCTTTGAGTATTAAATATTATATTGTTATTAATCAGCCAATCAATCATATCATTTTTTTTTTAAATTACTATTAGGCGCAGGATTCACTTGTACCGAATGGTATGAGGCATTATCGCAAACAACTACTGAGTTAGGGGGTAAATTTGGAATTAGTTTTTCCTTTGGCCATTTGCGGTAATTCGTGGCATTCATTTCTAAGTGGTAGTCACCGGATTTACTACCAGACTTGAATATTAAAAGCGCGTTTGGAATAAATCCACAGCCACCTTTACTTCCAAGCCATGAAGTAGAAATTTGGCAACAACGCGTGGTAGTCCGACCGTGGTTTGTTTTGTTTAACATTTCATATAGGAAGGCTTGTAAAGTTTGTTGAATTTAGCGTTTTTTTAACTTTATTCGAATGTTTTATTTGTAAATTGTGTTTAAATCAATTAGAAAATATTAATATAAGTGAAATTTCATTAAATTTAGAACTTTTAGAAGATTCTTAACGACAATTTAAAAGGCAAGTATAAATATAACCTACAAAACAAACTGAAAAAAATAATACTTTTGCTTCTTGTTACAAAATATGTAAACTAAAAACAACAATAATAATACTTTTGTTTTTTGTTACAGATGCTCTGGCATTGTTGTATACCTGGTTGCAAAACCAATTATGCCAGTACCTTAAAAACGAAACAGGCAGAAAGTACGTTTTCGTTTCCCAAAGGTCCCCAAAGAAGGTATACTGGGTTATGCTCTATTCATAGAGAAGGCTATACAATTACCAAATCTTCCGTAGTATGTGCCAAACATTTTCATGAAGATGATATTCAGCGGACTGAACAATGAGAAGATAAAGATGGAAATGTACACATTGAAAAGTTAATATTTCCCAAATTAAAAGGCAATGCAGTTCCTAATATATTTTTTGAAGTACCATCATATGTAACTATTCATCGTACTAAAGAAAGAAGGAATCCCGAAGACGGAAGAAACTTTTTGCATAAGAAGAGGGAACAAGAGATAACATAATTATGACAACCCATTGAAAAACTGGACAAGTAAAATTACAAGTGACTGTATATTTCTATGTATTAAACATTAATCAGTTGGGACACAAGTGTGATAATATTTGTGTAATATACAGTGTAATAGTTAGCAGTAATTTTAGTGTAATCGTCGATGTAGGTAAGAACAGATTAAGTAGTAATGATTTGAAATGGATTTTACAATATAGTAAATTAACAAGATGGTCACAATTAGAGAACTTACTTTCTCATTTAGATCTGCTTTTTAGATAAGTGATAACAAATTTGAGTATTACATTCAAAAATCTTTTGAGAATATAGGCTATTTTAAATCGATATACAAGTTATAAATGGTATGTTACATTCAACACATTTTTCATGTATACCTCTCTTAACTTGGTCTATAGGACAAAAAACCTATTCATATTTAAAATTGCTACTTTCGTATACATAAGTATGAAAATTCAACAAAAGTTATACGTAAATAGTAAAATATTTAATTTTCAATTAGATTAATTTAGAACCATATTTATATTGTGTCTGATTTCTT